CCCCTTCTCTCTCTCTCTCTCTCTCCCTGCTAAGTGCAGCTGTTGCTCTCCATTGGATGATTTTTTTTTCAAACTGATTGCTAATTAGGATATCTTTTAGGGTTTTATCTGTAAAACTTGTTAAACTTGCAATTTTTGTCTCCCTTTTTTTCTTGATCCAAAAGGAAACGGAGAAAAGACTTTTTACCCAATTACGCACAATGAACTTCAGGCAGGGCATTTCTCAGTGTCCCATGCAGCATTCATATAGTTTACAACTACTGTACTGTGTGGTAGCCTTCTTATTATAGCGCTCACTTCAGCTTTGAATGCTTTGAAGAATAGAGCAGCCCCATCTCCCTTATTCTGCTCACATAGCTGAAACCCTGGGAGAGGCAGCGGAGGAAAAGGAGAGCCTGAGAAAACAGCAATTCACACACGGAACACAGAGACCCCTGGTAGCTCAACAAATGAGTGTCTAGCCCTGTGTCCATTCATATCGCCCCCTCGGTCCGCAAGCCTATTAGCCAGGCATCGCTCCTTGAAACATTCACTGTCGACAACATGTGGAGGCATCGCTATAGCAACCAGTGGATATGACATGTGCAATGGACGGGGACTCCTGAGCTGCTGAATATAAGGAGGGGCTCAGCCTTAACTAAATGATCACAAAAAAAAAAAATCAACCCCACCACCTCCACCTCCCCGTCTCTTTTCATTGGCACACAGACGCTGAAAGGATTCGCTAGTGGGGCTTCTGCACATTCTTCTTCGGCTCGGAAAATCAGGCGGGCATATCCCACATTCTTCTTCTGCTTCTCCCTTTTCTTATTCTCCGCGACTCTCTCTCTCTCTCTCTCTCTCTCTCTCTCTCTCTCTCTCTCTCTCTCTTTCCTCTTTTTCTTCATCTCCGTGTTGAAGCCGCGCTCTTTTGTTGGCGCCGGGGGAACGCATGGGACCCTCACATGTAGGGGGAACTTTTTTTTGGAGAGAAGCGAGAAAGGCTGGAGTGGGCGGCCGTGGGACGCGCGGACAGACGCTTCTTGGAGCAGCGCGGAGCGTCAGTGGCTAAACTCGTTCTCTGGAATACAGGACGCGGCAGCATCCTCCGTTCACTGCTCTAATGTTCGCTTTGCCTGGCGACATGGATTTGGGTAATTATCTCTTGGCTTCAAACGGCTGTCTGTCCTCTTTTTTCCTGTTCTTGTTTCCGTGTTCAGCGTGCAAGTTTAAATGCGTCAAATGCGTAAAAAGCGCCTTCAAAGGTCGGCTTTTAAAACTTGTCCACAGAGCTGGCGTGACGCCGAAAGCTGCTTCTGTATCTGAGGAGATGAAAAAAAAATCTTGATTTAGTTTCAGGTTTCTTTATTAACGTAAACTTCAACGAAATATTCCTACAAACTGTGTGTAGTGATGTGAGCACATCTGGATGCTTGTGCAGGTCGGTCCTGATGATGCTGAGAAGAGAATCAATGATGTTTTCATTTTCATGTTTGGTTAAAAAAAAAAAAATCACGTTGTAAATTTCATCCTATTTTAAACTCGTGCAACTTTGCGCAAATTATTCCATTATTGGAGACATTTCCAAAAACCTGCGGGGTCATTTATTGAATAAAAAATAAAATAATTGTAATTCTTCATTTTGCAGCTTTTAAAAAATAATAATCTTGAATTAGTTAATTATGTTGGGTTGATTTATTTCTTCTTCTTTTTTAAATTGAAGTCGTATTAATGCAGAAAATATTTTTGGAGTGTCATAAATATGAGTGTGATTGTTCCATGTTAAAAAGCAGGATTGTTGCATCAGGACTTATTTTTTAGTATTTTATTATAAGTCTCATCATTTTAATCAAAGGGTTAAAAATTCCCCTTTTAGTGCACAGAAACTATAAATCATCTTATTCTGAAGCTGAACTCATCACGTGCAGCTCCGACCTGACGAGCTTTGAAAGATGGAGGCAGTTTGTGTGTTTGTCAGGATTCTGAGGCTGAATGGAGCCCAAAAAACACCTCAGTGCCTGACCTTTAGTCCGTCATTTAAATAATCCAGAACCCCCCAAAATCCATCTGGCCCTCGTCCCCCCTCAGATTGACTTCATTCTTCACACGGAGACGCTCTGAATGAAGAGAGAAACATGGGAGGACGAGAGAGAGAGAGAGAGAGAGAGAGAGAGAGAGAGAGATGACTCCAGAGTCCTTTTAGTTTGAAAAAGAATATCACAGATTTAGAAAATCCAGAAATACCCGTCTCCTTCTGCTCTTTAATTCTAATCCTGCAGAGCTCTCCCTGAACTTTCACTCCTAAAAACATTTATGTGAAGAAATCATTTTCTTCTTTAATTTTAGTCTCATTAAATGGAAAAGCATTTTTCACATCTTGATTTTTTAGTATTCATTTCTTTTTCCTTTTAAGGAGATTTAAATAAATAAATCTGTTCATCAGACGTCCTCCTCAAAACACCTCGAGAAATAAAAATGAATATTAAAATAAAAGGGACGGGACATGTGAAGTCCTCTCTCTCTCGCTCTTTCTGGATCTCCTCGGGTTTCTTTCTTAAACGTTTATCGCCTTCAAACACTCCTTCATGCTCGCTGAGCCTCTCGTGGAGCTGCTTTCTCTCACGTTCATTTCAAGGTGTTTACCTGAGTGACGGCTTCAGATAGAAGAGGGCCTCCTCTTTGATTAACTCTATTACACTGTCATTTCCTTCTCAGAAACGATGGAAAGATTTGAGTCAAAGGGGATAGCTTGGTGTTTGAATCAGGAGGTCTGCAGGGGGCAAAAATGTCTTCAACACGAGACACATCTACAGGGTTTCCAGGTCCATTTTGCACGAGCTTTCTCAATAAGTTCTCCTGCATATAAAAAAATAGAGTTTGCATTTTAACAATCATTCCTGATTTGGAGCGTGGTGTGGAGGCCTCTTCATGCCTGATTGGAGACCTCAGCAGCGACCGGCGTCAGGCCCAGCAGAGCGCTTGCAAAGAGCCGGGTATTAGCACAAGCGCTAACAAAAATAAATAGCCAATTACCCGCCACAAGGTCGACGCACATTGCTGGTGGTGTGAGGTGGAGTGTTCTGCTCTACGTTTGTTTCTCTCTTCATGTTGTAGATTTGATTCACTTCAGACACTAACATCTTTCATTGTAACACACACACACACACACACACACACACACACACACATCAGCATCCTGCTGGTGAACTCTGCACTCTTACAGACATCGGCCTTTTTTGCAGCAGATGAAATTAGATCGAGGGTGGTGAAGAAGTTACTTTGCACAGAGCGGCGAGTAATGTGTTTATTTTATGCAAAGACAATCAGACACGTTCTATCATTAATTATCTCCGCTCCTAATTATCGCTCTCCCAATATTGCGGCTCACCGGGAATGTAATGTATCTCCACCGTAAATGACCACGAGTGGACCAATTACCAAAACGATTCTTTAACAAAAAACATCTCTGAGATGATTTAACTGCACATTTAAAAAACAGGTCGGCCATATTGAGTCCAGTTTTTTTTTTTCAACTGGTGTTGGACATTTGAAGGTCCAGTGTGAGCGGCTTGTGCGCCCCCCCCTTCTCCCCCCTCCTCCTTCCCCACAGTCCTAGGAGCCATTAGCTGCATGCGGCTTGGTCCAGGGCCTAATCCAGCCCAACTCCGGACCAGAGGAGCTAATTAAGCTCAAGCTTTTTAGTATCCCAGCCTCCTGCAGCAGCTCAGTGCCAGCCCACCCCCATGATGCCAGGGAGTGCTAAAGGGGGTTGTAAATATCTATAGTGGGATTCAGTGTGGAGGCAGGAGTGGACAGGGGATGCTAATAGGGGGTATCTGAACCTGAATGGTTACTATAAGGCCGCTATTAGTTCTGTCTAATGAGCGGGGGCAGGGGGGAGGGGCTGATGGACATGTAAAGGTGACATTTTATAAACAAAACTAGCCATCAGTCTGCTGGGAGTTAGATAAATCTGCCTTGTCTTTATTGATTCCAACACCTTCACTTGACTGCTCCGACGACCCCTCACACACCAGAGTGTCAAACACTGGGCAAATAAATAAATCCAGCTTTACTTAGAAGAAACGTTTTCTTAAAGGAACAGCGGCGCTCACCAAAGTGCTTCACAGTCCACAGAAAATGGTGGCTCCAAAAGGAATGACATAATGATGAATAAAAACTGCAGACTGTTTCAATCTAAGCTGATGGTTTGTTACTTTACCTCAAACCAGCTTTTTTATTCTGATTTCTTTGTGTGTTTATTTTAGTATTTTTTGATAAAGGTTCAGTTTTGGTGCATGAAGGCGGTACTGATATTGGCACCCTGTTATCAATAAGCCGCTGCCGATACTGTTATTGATTACGGTGTTGATTTGGGCGGCTGTGGCTCAGTGGTAGAGTCAGTGGCCTCGATTCGATCGCCTCAAGCAGCAACATGTCTGATGTGTCCAAGTTGCTCCTGCTGCTTCCTCTGCGGTGTGTGAATGTGTGTGAATGGATGAGTTAACGCTGATGGTCTCTTTACTCAGCAGCCTCTACCATCAGCGTGTGAATGTGTATGAATGGATGAGTTAATACTGATGGTCTCTTTACACAGCGGCCTCTACCATCAGTGTGTGAATGTGTATGAATGGATGAGTTAATACTGATGGTCTCTTTACTCAGCAGCCTCTACCATCAGTGTGTGAATGGATGAGTTAATACTGATGGTCTCTTTACTCAGCAGCCTCTACCATCAGTGTGTGAATGGATGAGTTAATACTGATGGACTCTTTACTCAGCAGCCTCTACCATCAGTGTGTGAATGTGTGTGAATGGATGAGTTAATACTGATGGACTCTTTACTCAGCAGCCTCTACCATCAGTGTGTGAATGTGTGAATGGATGAGTTAATACTGATGGTCTCTTTACTCAGCAGCCTCTACCATCAGTGTGTGAATGGATGAGTTAATACTGATGGACTCTTTACTCAGCAGCCTCTACCATCAGTGTGTGAATGGATGAGTTAATACTGATGGTCTCTTTACTCAGCAGCCTCTACCATCAGTGTGTGAATGGATGAGTTAATACTGACGGACTCTTTACTCAGCGGCCTCTACCATCAGTGTGTGAATGTGTGTGAATGGATGAGTTAATACTGATGGACTCTTTACTCAGCGGCCTCTACCATCAGTGTATGAATGGATGAGTTAATACTGATGGACTCTTTACACAGCAGCCTCTACCATCAGTGTGTGATGTGTGTGAATGGATGAGTTAATACTGATGGACTCTTTACTCAGCGGCCTCTACCATCAGTGTGTGAATGGATGAGTTAACACTGAGGACTCTTTACTCAGCGGCTCTACATCAGTGTGTGAATGGATGAGTTAACACTGACGGACTCTTTACTCAGCGGCCTCTACCATCAGTGTGTGAATGGATGAGTTAACACTGACGGACTCTTTACTCAGCGGCCTCTACCATCAGTGTGTGAATGTGTGTGAATGGATGAGTTAACACTGACGGACTCTTTACTCAGCGGCCTCTACCATCAGTGTGTGAATGTGTGACCTGCGGTGTGAAAGTGCTTTGTACTCTTTCAGCACTGTTTCTGTTTTAGGAACGAGTGGAAACCTCTGCAGTCTTGATTTGCATGCTGCTGTAAATACAAATATAAACATTGCTCTGTCTCCTCTTTGTGTGTGTTTCTCCAGAGGGGCAGCCTGACCCAGATCCCCGTGGTGAAGGAGACCCGGGTGGAGTCGGGCCAGTTCCTGCTGCTCTCCGTCCTCTGCATGCTCTTCATCCTCGTGGCGCTCGCCGTGTCCACCACGTTCTTCTGCGTGCGGCAGCGCTCACACCTCCACATGAAGGAGAAGCTGGCCAGCCTGGGGACTGACACCGGAACAGATGCAACCGCAACCTATCAGGTAAGACCAGCCCCAACCTTCCTATTTTTGTTGATGAGCCAATCAGAGCCCGGCACACTCAGACTGCGCTCTATGATTGGACGAACACACACTCTAGGCAGTAATGTTTTATGTTCTGATTTGCCTGTGAGTGTGTGTTTGTTGATGTGTGTGTACGCTTCAGTTTTGTCATCATTTATTTCAGAACACATTAAATCTACATTCCATTTATTAGAATCTTTTTTCTTTAATTATTTTACATTTTTGATTTTTTTCTTCATCCAATCTTCACGTCTCGACCTTTGCCCATAACGTGTGTGTGTGTGTGTGTGTGTGTGTGTGTGTGTGTGTGTGTGTGTGTGTGTGTGTGTGTGGTGTGTGTGTGTGTGTGTGTGACCTATTCCCTCTGTTCCTCCAGGCAGCCTGAGCAGTATTGATTTCTCAGCGCCGGGCTCAGCTGTGCCCAGCGTGGCACTGAGAACATATTTATCAGCATGTCGCGTTTACATTTTCAATATTTAATCAGGGCGTTCACGGCGCCGCGGAATCCATCAAAAGCAGAGAATCTTTCATCTTAGATTTTTTTAAAAGATATAAATATTTGTTTGTTCGGAATCTTTTTGTCCGTTAAGGTTCTTTCTCACGATGCCTTCAGGGACCGGGACGTTTGAGTGCTGTGGCAGAGCACATACTGTTGCAGACATTTTCATATTAAAGTCTGATGGCGGGCGAGGTTTATCCAAGACCTGGGCGTGGGGTGGGTGGGGGGGTGGGGGGATATCGCCATGACAGATCGTGTGATAGCGTGTGCTTTCAGGCGGCGTTTTGCTCCGGCCTTGCGCTGCCCTCGCTGTTATTAATTAGAGTAAATGAATTCTGTGGAGATAACGGGCTTTGGATCAGAAAAGCAAACATGAGAGGGTTTAAGATTGTAAAGATTTAACATAAAGTATGATGGAGGGAAGCGGTGAACGTGTTTGTTTGAAAGAGAAATGTTGTCATGAATTTTTCCATTCCTTTAGATCAGGGATGGGTCACAGCAAGGGGCCACATTCATTTAATTCTTACTGCCAGGGGGCCAAACTGTAGAATACGATAACGATTACAGTCAGTTATGTCTCAAATTCAACTCAACATATACCGCTGATAAAATATTATTATGGACATGATTCTGGTTTTCATGATTTCATGGCAGATTTTGTCATGTTTTCCGCATGTGGCCCCCGGGCCGCCAGTTGCCCACCCCTGCTTTAGAAATAGGCCTGAACTGACCACAACACAATCCTAACAGCTTGCATTATTCATTTTTCATTGTTAATTATCAATTTATAAACACAAAGGAGAAAAACAAAACAACACATCTCTTGCAACCTTTTTATTTTATTTTATGTATTTATTTTTATTGCTGCTGCTATTTTATTATAAATCTGTAGCGGTATATTTTATTTAGACATGTCTATTGCTGCTACTGTGTACAGTATATTATTTGTATATAACTTGTGTTTTTATTTTATTCTTTGTATCTGTGTGCTGTTCGATCCTTTGGTGTTACCTGCTGCTGGAATCTGAATTTCCTGAGAGAACCTTCCCAAGGGATTAATAAAGTTCATATCTATCTATCTATCTATCT